AATTCACCATTAAATTCATGATAAAATTCTAGGGCTTGTCTATGCAGATTGGATGAACAATGCCATTGGCTCCTAAGGGATTAATCCAATCTCATCAATTTATGCCGAAGATTGTGTCAGCCTTGGAAAAAACAAACGCATTATCAGGTCAAGTAACCGATGCCGTCGTGCACGCTTCATCAACGCTTAATCCTCCAAGTTTGTCTTACTCCATCTAGGGCTTACACTCGGATAATTTTTCTCCTCGTCGTCCCTCTTCGATAAATTTTATCGCCTCTCCCTCCAGAATTCACTGGACGTCGGTTTAATTGGAACATCTATTAATCTCTTCTCTCTCGTGGATAAAACCAGTCATAAAAAATTGGAGAGTCTGCACTGCTCTCAATTTTCCACTGAAATAACTCCGGAATTCTCTCCAATTCCCTAGAATTCCAGTAATTGCGAAAAGATTCTTAGAAATTATTTCGGCCTCTCAAGAATGTTCTATCCCCTTTCAACCAAAATTACCGGTTTTTAGAGTTTTCTCACAAATTTTTTTATCGGATTGACCTGAAAAAAGGAACCGTTTCTGCATTTTATTACTATTTCATGGAGCATGAAGTATCATGAGTGTGTAATAATTTTCCTGCCTTTTTTTCTGTTTTATTTATTCTGGAGAAGATGAGAAAAACGAAGGGTAAAAGGAAGCAAAACCGCCTTAAATAATTATCAAATAAGTTATTATGAGTGACCAAATAAGTTGCCAGTCATTTACTTGTCCAGAGTACAATTTCGCGAGAATAATAACAATGATAGGTTTTAATACTAGTGGTTGTTGTTGTTGTCCTCTTCATGGCGTACGAGAACAATGGGAATCAATTGAGAAATTTATTTTAATACATTTAATTAACGGGAAATATTACATCAACGAGCACCTCGAAATCAGCCGGTAATGCACAATATACAATATCCAATTATTTTGATTTTGATTTTATTTTGATTATTTTTATTATATTCTTTATTTTTTATCGAGCCTGATGGAGAGAACAATAATTATCGTTGAAACATGGACTATAACTAAATAAATTAAAATGAAATGAAATTTTTACTGTTTACTTCTCCTCAATTTTCGATGGAAGACGAAAAAAATTGCGACACCAGTGCTAACTGTTTCCCTCACGCACTTGTACCTCATTACATTAATTTAATAGGATCATCAATGGGGCAATAACCACTTCATTATCTGAAGGAGGCGAGTTTTACGATGTTGTACAGTGCGTGTCCACCGCGACAATTTTCCTCCCCCATAAATTCATTAATTCGAAGATAAATTGTTTAAAATGCAGTAAACCCGAGCGATTTAAGCTCAACCAATAAAACTGTAATAAAGTCAGAGTATCGGCGAAGGGTAAACAAGGGGTAACATTGTAATTCAAAGTTGAAGATTGCCGGTTCCACGCACGGCGCATCGTCTGATTAAGTCACGAACCCGTCGACGTTATATGCCCCTGTCCTGACGATATTTATGACCCCCGTGGAGAATCCCACAGACCACCACCCCGGATCCACACTACGGTTTTTCGATCAGAAAAGAATGATCGATTGGTAGAATCGAATCGACCCCTTTTGTATCGATTCACAGAAAATCTATCTCGTTCGTTTTTTCTTCCTAGTCTTTCTGTAGTCCCGATACAAACTTGCTTTTAAAAAATGAATAAATAAATAACATGAAAATCGATCGATTAATTAAGATTAATGAAGGATCAATGGAGGTGTATGAAGATGTCTTGTAACGAGAAGTGGATTGAAAAATTAGCTGTTGCTGTAGCTTAAGAACTTTGATAGCGGCATTAGAATAAAAAGCCTAGCCTAATAAATAATTCAGCCACTTCGGCCAAATTCGGCTGTTCGATATTCATAAATTCACAAAAACCATCATCAAAAAGTCCAGATGATGGATTTTAATAAATTTTTATGAGATACATACCGTTAAATAATTCATCAATTTGAAATAATGTCTATAAATGACGTATCATTATCATTTGGTCCCATTCAATGAGAATGGAAATTTGTGACAATAGAGTAACAATAGAAATAGATAATAAATAATATAAAAGAGCGATATCCATAAAAAAAATCAATTCGGCTGATAGACCGGCTCGCAAAAATCGAGTTGAAAAATCGAGTATCCAGTCTAAAATAATGGATTTCTGAAAGATCGATTCTAAATCGAAAAAACCGCCATCTACAACCCGTTTTAGCCTTAAATTTTGTGGCGACGGATAAAGCCCTATCTTTTTTTTCCTCCGGGGTGTTATCGATAAGGGACCAGTGAAAATTAAGAGTGGAGGGAAACCGGGGAAATTAGAACTCGGGAATATCTGGGGGGATGGATTTCACTGTTGACTAGACCGCGCCCCCCAATTGTACCCCTGGGAATATTTCTGAATGGAACTGAACAAATTAGTCTACAAGGAGAGAAATATTCTGGGGAAATTGCGGAAGTGATCGCGCACAAACGGAAATATTCAATAAAAATAACGAAATAATTTATAATTTTTTTATTTACAAAAAATTCCACAAAAATGTATTTATTAATTTTCAATAGATTATCGATTGCATTAAAAGAAATAATTTATCCAATTTCAATATATAGGAATCCAATTTTAAGAGAATAAAATTATCTTTAAAGAAATAAATTTAGTGAAGAAAGAAATGATCTTGAGTTATTAATAAAGAATTTAAATAAATTATTTTTTCGGCGAGATGGAGGAGTTTGTTTTGAATATGTCGACGGTGTTAAATGAGTTAACGATGAGTGAAGATCTTCCGTTTCTGGGTATATGTATTCGGTGGTGATACATAAACGAAAAGCGAGGGGATGGGAATTAAAAATATGGGGGACTTCAAAGGGGAGACAATGGAAATAACTCGAGGCGCGGTTTTTGAAAGTTGAGAATGCGGGCGCGTTGTAATTGATTCCCATGAGAGAATCGTCCGGTTCATTGTGGGAATAATTAATTACGAATTTAATCTGCCTCCTAATAACCCGAGAAGAGAAAAAAGGTTTAAGTCTCCACAGAAGAATAGGGAATTATAAATTTGGAAAATTGAAAGACTGAAGAAGTAAAATTTTATTTTTTCGTTTCACCCTATTGTGTGAGGAGATTGAGGGAATTGAGGGAATTGGGTGAAAATCAGTCAGTCCGAAGGCTTGCGGTTACTGATAAAAATCGATTTTCCCCGGAACCATTTTTTTTTTCTTTTTGAATCCCAGTTTCTCGGGAAAACGGATAACCTGGCGTTCGTTAAACCGATTTCCGGACATACCTCGGGCTCGTTTCACGTGCAGATTGCCTGCCCTACGCTTAACTCAACAGTGATATTCCGATTTCGCTGGTGGACCCTCGTCCATCTAGTTGCCGGTCTTTTTCTTTTTCCTTTGCCCGGTGGGATGACGAAGGACTCGGATAATGCGGGAGTTGTCGACAGGAACGGATCACGGGGGATTTAATCTATTTCGAGTCGTACGACTTGAGATATTAGAGAAACACGGAGAAAATTTTGAATCACCTCCAAAGAAATAATAAAACGGAAATATGAATTTATATCCACCATGAATACATAAACGTAAGTATGTGAAAAAAGGGGGTAATGCAGGAGTTTACGACGAAAAAAAAAAGTATGATTCAACGCTCTGTTAATCATGGAAATTGGAATCTGTCGTAAAAAATACGTTCCAGACATGGTTAATGTGCTCTGGCTTGCAGCGTGAGGCTGAGCTTCATTGTAATTGAAAGCTCCCCGAATCTCCATTAAGTCACCCAAGTAGAGAGGAGAGCAGTTGCAAGGACGAAATGGGTGTAACAAGGGAAAAGGCGGGAGTGAAGGGCCTTTTTCAAAGTGCCCCCAGATGAAATTGGAAGAAAACTCTGATAGTTTAACGATCGTGCTGGTGACTCCTTAGGGCCGGCACTGTATCATCGCCAGCACTGGCAATCTTCGTAAAGATCTTATGATCTTAACGTTTATCTGACGCATGTGCAATTGTCGTATTTCTCTTCATGGGAAATAAAAATTCAGCCTCGACCTGCGATGATGGAGTTCTTCAGGGTTATGAAGGGTATTATCGTCTCGGGAGCAAATATATTAGGCGAAATTGACTGTTGGCTGATGAGAAATTTAATTTTAGAAAAAAGTTACTTTCCTCTCGCAAAAATCATGGCCTCTGGGGTCGATGTACAATAAAATGATTTACAGTGAAATTTTTGTTTTTTTTTTTGTATATTTTTGGCGGTTGTGGAAATGTTATCATATCGCCTGTAGAACGCAAATATATTTGAAAACAACTGTTGTTTAATGGGAACTTGGATTTTAGGAACGCATCCCTTTCCTCCCCCAAAAAAAAGTAAATCAACCCTTGGGGCGAGATCGAGGGACAGTAGTATATTATACTACAAGCGTAGAAAGTTGCATTTCCTGCACTGCACGTCATGCTGCCCGAGGCGAAGCGGATTATTCATATTCGTCACTATACTATTTGTTTCTCCATTTTTTCATTGTTTAATGATTTTATTATATCATCTGCGCGGCAAAAATAGATATAATCAACGGTTCAATGATAGAAAAATGTATTTTTTCATCCTCGAAGAATCCTACATCAGGCCCCTATAAGAGAAAAATGAAAAAAATTCCCATTCTTAAAATCTTCCGCAACAAAATACCGAAAGCAATTAGCTACAGCTATAATTCCGTGCTCTTGAGCGATTGTCCTACTCCTGCAATAAAAATAAGTAGAAAAAATAACAAAGAAGATGAGAATAATGGCTTCAAATATTATGACACTGGTCTTATTTTCGAATTCCAACTTCCGGCGGGAAATGACTCCGATAAGAGGCGTCCCGGTTATCTCCCGTAGATGGAAAAAATAATTGGTTCTGTTGCAAATCCCATCAAAGTCGTGATAAGAGAGTGAATATATAGGGGAAAGCCTCAGGATGCTCTTCCATTTTCAAGTCGATTTTGAAGATGCAGTGTTCGTGGATTGCTCTAAGTCTTTTGGTCTCGGTGGGACTAGCTATTGGCTGTTACCTCCCGACAAGACAGGTATTGACCCACCACTTTGGCTTTTCCCCCAATAAATTACTGCGTAGTTTAGGGGAAAGGATTTTAATAGTTTTTGCTGAATCTCACGCAGGACAACTCGGCCAACTCAAATCACATACAGGTGATTCATTTGCCCGCATCAGAAGAAAATTTGGTAAGTTTCACTTGAATCCTAAAACAATGCATTAATATAAATTAAAAAATGATTGTATCTTACTGAATAGTCGTAAAACCTTCCCCCTGGCTTGTGGGAGGAAATTAAACAAATTGGAAAATATGAAAAAGTGAAAATTTACAGCTGAATATTTTCCGCCCATCACCTGGGAAAATTTCTCGTATATATTCCTCCATTTATTTTTACTTCCAGGAGGACAGCGATCAAGAAGTCATAGAAATTCATATTCCATCAGACGACAGAAGAAGAAAACGAGAGGTTCATAGTCCAGATACCGGAGAAAGCTGCAAAACAGATGCAGATTGCCTAGAGGGCTGGTACTGCGACGAGCTATTGATCTGTCGTAATTGAACTATCATCCGCACAGAGTTAATCGCAGAAAATCAACTTTGATATCTTCTAAATGGAATTTTAATCGTTTTGTGCTTCAGATTCGAGCGACGTAGCCACCAGTGGAGCTGAGAATGTTCTCCAAGGAACTTCACATGCAACTCAGTCAGTAATTATTCCTAATATCACGTACAAATCTTAAAAGTGAACGACTACTCACAACCAATGGATTATTGATGTGCCAGGCCGATGGATACGAAAGCCGATAATTTCAATCTTTAACAATGGATGTAGTGATTGTCGCTAATAAAACAATAATTCTATTCTGAATTACTTTTTCATTCGGTCTTTCACTATTCTCGTTTTTTTCTTCTCGTTTTTTTTCTGTCGTTTTTATGGAATAATTGGATTCGGAAATTGGGGATTTATTGATTTCCATAAATCGTTCAACTATCAAAATTGAATATTCTATTTTTGAATCCGCAATTTTGGTGAAACATTGATTCTGAAAGCTTTAGGACGGAAATTCACTAATAGTCTTCCAAATGTTTCTCATCCCTCGACGCATTTCACGTTGAATATGCGGCGTTACAAATAAACAAGAACTAAGTAATTCCGAACGTAATTGTGCAATGAGTCGCTTTGGAAAAATGTCTGAATCGCCTCTGAAAAAATTATTTTGTTTCAATTTTCAAATTAGTCTTTCAGAGGTTTCTGTTCCTCTACATGAGTCTGTCAATGTATTCGAATGCTATCCACTGCAATCTGGTTGACAAAAATCCGAGTGGAAAAATAATCCATCAAATGTCACTCAGGCTTGAATATTAAACGGATATTTTCCTGGGCCTTTCCTGCCTACTATCCTTTTCAAAAGTACAGTCAACAAACCTCGGAGGCTTGCATCCTGGCGAAAGTATCGCATGCGCTGTGTACTACTTTCATTCGCTAGATCTACTATTAGTCAACACCAATACGAAGTTTTATTTTTTTTATGCCATAGCATTTGCGGTATTGCAAGGAAAATATTCTAAAACCCTTTTTTCTCACGTCATGTAAAAATTGTTGTACCTTGGCTTGATGTCAAAGTCTCAATTTTTCCCATTAGCATTATCACAATTTCTTACATGATAGCTTGCATTCAATGGAATGGTTGAATTAAAATTTCATTTTTTAATAATTATCCTTTCTTTATATATAAATAGGAAGTTTTTCATCTTTTCCTCGCAGTACCGCTGAAACTATGACCTGGCAAAAAATAAAGCTCCGTATTGGGGTAGACTAATAGTCCATCTAACGAACGAGAGTGGTATCATAGTCATGCGATTTTTTTTTGTCAAGATACAAGCCTTCAAAGTTTACGGACTCTACTTTGAAAAGGATAGTAGGAATGGATGTGTCAGAGTTCACACAATGGCTCCTCGGCAACGAAGCTATCAAAAAATGTCCGATAATTTTGCAGGATTAGTCAAGGATTAGTGCTATTATTACGGACTACTAAGACGAAAATTTTTACCAATGGAAAAATCGTTCTTAATGATGATAAAGTGGAATTTCACAGTCCCTTCTAATTGATAAACCTCTCTGGTAACTTCTGGCAGAGGCAGAAATTAGGTGACGACCTCGGAAGACCGATAGTTAAGCACGATCGGATCTCATTAACACGCGCCTTTGAAACAAAGCTCCAGAAAAGAATGAAAAGAGCGAGAAAAACCACTCTCGTAAATTTTCCGGTAACAACTGCTCCCATCCTGGACACCGCGGGCGGACGAATTCCAGAGCGGAAATTTACAACATAGCTTTACACTTAAAATCAATTAGCTGCTAATTGATCGAACCGTAGGAAGTAGGAGGAGAGTTAAAAGTTAGTGGGTACTTGCTCGCCACTGTTTTTATCATTATTACCCCGGTAATATCGACCCACCGATGACTTGTGGTAATTGTGATTGAATATTGAGAGTACAAATGAGAGAAAAATACATTCGCCTTGAACAACTGCGCCCTCGGGATGTTTAAAATACCTCGGTTTGGAAAAAAATGCTTATTTGCTCGCCATTCCCTACTCTCTCTCGGGCTGTTAACAGGAAACGTCAGTTATGAAAACTGTTATTGTTGTATATTACGAGAAATTTATGACTGGCCAACGGGGAAATAGCAGCCTTCACGGCATCTCCAAACATCCAGTGGAAACTTGCTAATGAAATTTTTTATTATGCGAGGAGAGATAAGTAAACTTAAAGCAACAACTAATTGCTCTGGCAAAATAGAAGAAAAAAGTACCCCCAGGATTGAAAATTTGCACAGAAAAAATGTTTTCCTGGATATTCGTCTTGTGTCCATCGAGAAACGTAATTAGCTGTTGCCGATAGCACACGGATAAATAAAAAAATCGAATGGACCCGAGCACTTTACCCCGAAAAAGGATGGACAGAGGGTACTTCAGAGACTACTTTCGGGACGGCAAAATACTTTTCCCGTATGAGTTTCGTTTGAAGGCAATACTAAAAGCTGCCCTTGTCGGTTCTCATGAGAATAAACGTGAAAATATGTAGAAGGAAAAACGTGAAAGAGAAATATGAAGAGGAAGAAAGTTTTAAGGGTAGCTTTGTGCATGAAAAAATTAACTCTGAATTTTTTTTCCCCACTCTCATTCACCTTTTTGTAGCTCCCCCTGCTAAATGGCAGTTTTTACAACTTGTCATTTTCATACGTCTGAAACGACCACATGAAAAAATTCTTTTAATCGGTTAAGAATAACGAGCATTAGCCAGACATATCGGTTTTCCGATGCGAGTGATCGGTGAAGCGAGTCGACATGGGGAATCGCTTAGGCAGGTAGAGGTGGGAATTCGAGTCATTTTGGTGTGTTACATTTGGTACGTAATGCATCAAGACAGTTATACCACGAGTGGACGATATATTGCCGACACTTAAGTGGTTCGCTCAGCGTGCAGCTACCAAGGAGGTAATCTGCACGTGTTGAGATACAGATGCTGATTTGGGGCGACACACATTTCAACCATAACGTCGACGTAACCTCCAGCATGTACTGACTTTTTTTCATTGCAGAATTTCCCGACGACTCAATTTTCCGTCACAATATCGCGATCGGCCTTCATTTTCATTGGACTTACACTGCAAAAAATAGAGTATATATAGTAATTACGTCTAAGCAATTGTCCCGATTGATAAACTAATGATTTCATATGAATTTTACAGAATGAGAAAAATTCTGGAAAAAATACGTGAGAAGTTGCGTAAAAATTACTGTTTAAAACGTAAACGTTTAAAAATCGGGAAAAGTACTGCGCAGGTAACTTTACCTAATATTACCTATTATTTCATTTATTATCACACGTACGTTATTTTACATATCAGAGTGCAGCTGGCGAAATACACGCGAAGAGCTTCGCGCCTAGTGTGTAATCAGCTAGTTACTGCACGCTGAAGTGTAAAGAAATTTACGTATCATTTCCGTACAATCTACTGTATCATTTTGTTTCCCCCAAGTTAAACTTGAACTCACAACCTCTGACATGTCAGGCAAGAATCTTACCCATACGCCAGAGCTTCGTTATTGTTATTGTGTCGATCGTCATTGATGAGTCAACGCGGCTGCCGGATTTATTTACATAAAATTAAGTAATCTTTACGTTATTTAGCGTATTTTTTAGTTAAAAGTGTAAGTTTTACGAGTTCAGAAAAAATACGTGACAGTACCATAAATTTTCCTGCATTTTCACTTCGTGTACTAAATAGATATATTTTTGTGCAAAATAAATTATTCGAATAATAAAGTAATTTAAAAATTGAAAAGAAGATTTTTCTCTAAGCTTACAAAACTTCAAAATTTACACTAGTTCAAGTCACTATATATTATATAATGAAATAATAAATTAATATATATATAAAGAATAAATTATTGTCGCGTGATTTCGGAACTTATATTATATTGTATCATATTCAATTTATTAAATTAGATCCTTTAAAGATTAAAAATTAAATAAAAGTACCTACTACAGCTTATCTATGCATCTATGCATATTAATAAAAAAAACTTTTCAATTGTTTAATTTATTTTTATTTTATTTAATTTTTTTTTTTTTTATTGCGTTTCCTTGGAATTTTAACCACCACCTTGCCGTTCTTTTTTTTTACTGGAGGAACAAGAATAATGAAAAAAAGAGCGAGTACGGGACTGCGGCGGATTGAATGACCTCGTACTGACCAATACAAGTGGAAAGTCCCAAAAAATAGTTAAGACTTACAATTGTAGGCAACCCTGGTCGAACAATTAACCGACCGCTCCATCTTATATCTAGATCATCTCCAACTTTCTTATAATATAAAACATCTGGCATATCGATTTAAGAATTCACTCATACTCGATTCAAGTTCAATTTTTTCAACGAAGAGCACGAAATGCGCGAGGTAATCATCTCCGCGGAATATGAACCGTCTCATTTCCACGGTTTAATCAAGGAACCATTCAAAATACCCATTAGTTCGTGCACGTGTTTGCCGTGGAACAGTATGAATTTAGTGTTTAACCAAAAAAAAAAGGGTGGGATCTACGGTGGCCGACGCGATTCCGGTAGTCACGCGCGAATGGCCCTTTATTCCGGTTCGTTGGAAAATCGGGATGCGCGAGGAATTCTCATCGACCCTACTGCCAATGCAACGCCAGCAATGCCCCATGTATAGAAGTGAATTTCGACTCTATGTACACCAGTGCCACTGGGTTTGTCCCAATGTGCGCTCTACCGCCACTTTATTTTCGTTGGGTGAACACCCCGTACCGGGTTCACGACACGCCAAATTTATTTCCCTGACACTCGTGGAGTTCTATCCGCCACCGCGATAAATAGAATAATTAAAAAATGGAAATAAAAATAAAGAATAAACAGGTGTTTATCCAACTGTGTTTTATTCCCATTGATTTTTTTTTTGTTGGCATTTCTTTCGCGAGGGCAGAATGTCAAACAATTTTTCACGTTGAGATAATCTCGGGTAAATAAATTCACGCAATAACATGTTTTCTCAGGCGAAATACAATAATCTGCAATTAGCAAAATTGCAATTAAATGAAAATTAGGTAGGGGTGTGGATTTGATGCCTCGCAGTTTTCGAAATATTTCCCCGAATCTAACGGAGATATCGTAATTTTCGTAATAAAGTTTTCTTTAGGTCTTCAAAAACTCTACAAAAAAGGTTGGGTAAAAAATTTCGATATCTCCCTTATATTCCGAGATATTTACTGACGATTGACCCATAATTATAAAAGCTCATTGAATGGTTCTACTCGTT